TATCACTGGAAGGATTTTTGGGAATCCTGCAGTTAATTGACTGTGATGTCTGCTTGATTATTGATGTCAAGTGGTCGGGAGATGTGTGCATAGACAGTGGTTCATCCTTGCGTTTTCTGCATCGTTTACATGTACCATTTCTTTGGTTGAAGGTAACATCTCAAAAACCTGCATCGTTTACGTTAGTTTTTAAGTCAGGCCAAATGGCTGAAACGTTGCAATGGAAACAAAATAGATGCAGACAATAATTCTCGTGTAAATAGTGTGAATAATGATGAATAATGATGTTACGGTTTTTGGGGTATACAACGTATATAACTAGTGAGCTAGTCAGAATGACTTATTTCCCTTTATAGTCGACCAATAGAAGGTTGACCAATCAGAAGCCGCACAACACTGTATTCGTCGTGTATAAAGGCGGCCACCTTTGTTTCTCCTATCGGAAGGACCAGAGGCAACTTATCCGGCGAACATGACAGACTGAAGAACTACGCTACTTTGCTGCGATATCCACTGCGAACCTGCACTACGCTTTCCTACTGTCTCCGAAATATTCACTGCCAACCTCTGGATTCTATACTCGAGGACGACCGTCATGAAAATGTCTAACAAATGATAGTAAACACAGCCCAAAAATTTAGACAGTGATTAGGTGCTCAGCAAAATATAAATCCGACAAATATTTAGACTGAACTAAGTACATGACTGCTATCTTCACATAGGCTCAAGAATGAATCTAGCCAACGTTTTCATATAGACTCAAGTATAAAAACAATAAACTCAAGTATAAACACGATTAATAGTCAGACTGAACCAAAAAAAATGACTGCTATCTTCCTATAGGCTTATGTATGAACACAAACAACGTTTTTATATAGACTCGAGTATAAAAAATATTTAGACTTAAGTATAAACACGACCCATATTCGGACTGAACTAAGTACATGACTGTTATCTTCCTATAGGCTCAAGTATGAATCTAACCAACGTTTTCATATAGACTCAAGTATAAAAACAATATTTAGATTCAAGTATAAATACGACGAATATTCAGACTGAAGTAAGAATACGACCGGGTTTCGGCCATTATACGCTCCAGCCTTCTTCAGGATGTGTCTATATTTCTGAGATGAGGTATTTTAACTATTTACACTATTTAGACCGATAGATTAATTCGATTTTGTTGCAGAATTCAAAATATGAAACAAGTTTCATGCATTTTCAAAAAAGAAAGAAAGAATAAGATGGTAGACCAAAGGACAAGCCGTAGATATGACGTGCCCTGTTTAGCATAATGAGGCGGATCTGTCTGGTGGAATTTTACTCGGTCCCAAGGGTGTACGATTTGTTCGCTTGAAGGTTAAAAAGCCGAGAGCCCATGCTAAGAAAAAGAAGCTGATTGAGAAGAAGGATAGACGAACGAAATAGGCAAGGGAAGAAAATAAAAGTGGCAGATATTCAAGAAGAGGAGAGATGAATGTTGGTAAAACTGGAAGCCGACCAGGAAGCAAAGACAACCTTTCATTGGCCGGTAATAAGTCACACTAAAGTAGACATTGTCTGTAGAAATGTAATGATAGATAATGCAAATAGATTTAAAAGCTGTATCTTCATCATTTTCTCTTGTCATGACACAGTTTTGGGTTGATCTGCTCCATATCTAATTAGGTTGTACAAACAAAGGGAAAATAATATTGAAAATCACGTTTCACATAGCTTATTCTATATTGAATTTCCTTATCTTCTATACCAAATCTGTTATAACTGATCCATATGTCAAGTTTAAATGACTGATATTTATGCTGATCATACAACGGTTTTATGGGTGCACTTCCAATGATCAGAGCTTAGCAGCTGATCTCTCATCTGATCTAACTCTAGCAGCTCATTGTGGTGAAGTCGAGGAACTGGCTCAAAGACTAAACTACTGACTTTCCACCATCACTTGACTGCACACAGGTATATCTAATAATTATACAAAATCAACATATGAACTATTTTTAATATATAAATATCACAGTGGAAAAAAAAACTTTCACGTTCAATGCCAAACTCTTGATCTTCCATTATTATCGATCAGACACAGAACTTTCAGCAATCGTACTGAACGGATATTTCTCGGGGAGGCCCCATGTATTGAGAAAAACTCATATCAGATCTCAACTTGAACTCATGGATACGTCCTAAAGATGCTGGTAACATGTTAAGAGCAAGATCAAGCCGAAAATGAAGAACTGCTGCACTCCCCTTTCTATTCTTCAATAGGAGACGAATTATTATATCTAACAGAGTTGTTTAGCAACGAATATCTGCTAAAGACCGTTACATGGTATTGCCAAATAATTTCTTTTTTTTTAAATCACAGGATATCTTAGTGATGGCACGTTCTGTTCACCTCTACGAAAGCTCAGTTTCCCATCGAATCGTGTGCCTCATTCAACAACACAAAATATTACACAGATTAAAATTCAATTAGTTTACTCGACTACACACAGGTATATCTAATAATTATAGAAAAATATATGAACTATTTTAAAAATATAAATATTTCAAAGAGTTTCATTTGAACATCACACACCTGAAAATTGTGAGTAGAAACATTAAGATTTTGTTTCTGGAAATACTAATGCCTCCTCCACTATACTTTACCATTTCACATTATCATTGCATCAACAATATAAAAGTACACCCCCAAACCTTTCGATGACCGGAGTTTAGAATCTGATCTCGCGTATGACCTAACTAGCAGCTCAGTGAGGAAAAAAAAACTTTCACTTTCAATGGCTCCAAAACAAAACTATTGACCATCCACAATTACCAATCAAACACAAAACTTTCAGCAATCGTGATGAACGGGTGTTCCCTCATATCGGTAAAAGCTCATCCAAGACCTCAAGTGGAACTTGTCCGTAAGTCCTAAAGATGCTGGTAAAATAGTCAGTTCCCTGTACCGCTTCAGCAAGTAACTCATTCCTGCTATCCTCTATCTTTCCAAGGCCTAAAATGAAGAACTGCTGTCAAGTCCCCACTTTTCAGTCTCCGAAAGCGTTCTTGTAAGAGACGAATTATTTTCTACTCTGCAACCTCTTGCTCACAGACGAGATGTAGCAATCATGTCGCTGCTTTGTCGCTATTTCCACGGAGACTGTTCAGATGAACTACCATCTTTAGTTCCAGCAGTCCTAACTCTAACTAAATATTACATAGCTTACAATGCAATTAGTTTACTTGACTACACACAGGTATATCTAATAATTATAGAAAACATATGAACTATTTTAAAAATATAAATATTTCAAAAAGTTTCAACATCACACACCTGAAAATTGTGAATATAACCATTGTTAAGATGAGCGGGGTTTAGAAGCTGATCTCTCCTATGATCTAACTAGCAGCTCAGTGTGGCAAAAACTTCATTGGCATATTCACAACGTTTCGGCCGTTGTGCGATCCGACCTTCTTCAGGTGATTGAAATTTCAAACTGTAGTCTTTATTTCGCCCGCCGGGATAAATTATTCTAGTTCCTCAAGGACACATGTCCCAGTCGATAAAGACGTTGGTTTGATCCAGTGACTAGACCCCGAAAGCTGTGATTTCATTACCAGGCCACAGCTGTGGTAAACCAAAAATTTGGGGACTTCAATTAAAATGGAATAACTGAGACATCCGGAAGAGACATGGCATGTGGAACTAGAACAATCTAGTGAACGATATAAAGAGTTCGGTTCCAATTACTTGAAGAGGGCCGGAACGTACAACGGCCGAAACGTTGTGAATATGGCAATGAAGATGAGGATAACAGTCCGAATAAAGTAAATAATGCAACCCAGGGACGGTTACTGAATAGAATAATCACTCGCAATTTGGTAATGAACGATAATAATTAGGACAAGAATAACACATATAAGATTTGCCAGCGGCGTGTGGAAGAAGTAGTCAACTGCTAGATGTAAGTCAAATGAATTCCACATTGACTCTCCAACTACAGACCAACATACAGTATTTACGACTGTATTTATGGGAATGGGGACATACCCATTATTCTCTTTATGTATGCTACAACAATCATAATAACTCATCTCAGGGATATATAGAGAGATATAGAGAGACATAGACATGAAGGCCGGAGCGTACAACGGTCGAAACGTTGGGAATATGGCAATAAAATGAGGATAACGAATAACGTTAATGCAAGGGAATATGTGATATAGACAAATATGAGGATAACAGTCCGAATAACGGCCGAAACGTTGGGAATATGGCAATGAAGATGAGGATAATCAATAATGTAAATGATGCCTAATCATCTCAGAGATATAGACAGAGATATAGAGAGACATAGACATAAAGGCCGGAGCGTACAACGGCCGAAACGTTGGGAATATGGCAATGAAGATGAGGATAACAGTGCGAATAATGTAAATGATGCAAGTAATCATAATACTTCATCTCAGAGATACAAAGAGAATTTCTACGAATATCTTTTTGATTTTCATGTCATAGTGTATTCAGCCATTCTTTTTCTTACCACAAACTCACCGTATTTACTGGTTTATAAAAGCCGCCGATTTTTCCTCAGTGAAACGTTAACCCCTATGAGATTGCATCGAATGTGTCCTGGTATTACATATAGAAGTTTAATACCGTAGTTCAAATGATTAGAATTAAACGAACAATGAAATACTCTTCTTTTTTTTTAATTAAGATGACGTTAACCCTGCAAATTGAAGTGGATAAATGCAAGATTTGTGATGAGAGGAACTTCCTGTGGTATAGAGAAAGATCGATATAAGCTCAAAGGAAGACAGAAAAATGCATCGATCTAAATGTTATGGTAAAACCAAGAAGTTAGGTTAATTTGTTTTGCTTATTTTATTGTCATAATTCTTAAGAAACTGTAACAAACAAAACACAGACAAAACTAGAAAAGCAATAATAAAGATTTTTCAAAATAACGGATTCGACATATATATATAAAAACTAAACTAAACGAAGTAGA